TGCACATGGGGAGGAAAGCCAAGCAAGGCAAGAGGAGTTATGCAGTAAAATCAGCTCGGGGGCGATTTTATATCTACCAGGGAACAAAATAATAAATGCTGCTTGTGGTAGGTTCCCGACAAAAAGGAATGTACATATTGTCGCCAATTCACACAAAGCTTTAAATTCATTCTGCAATCTCGAGCAACACATTTAATTTAACTGTAATGGGTTAGGAAAGGAGGGGAGGGGGGCGACTCGTCCTCAAGCTAACCTGTCTGACGCGGTTTTGCTATCAAACTAGCAATGATATACAAGAACGCAAAGCAACTAAAGTGATTGCTTACCAAACACATAGCATCCTGTACCACGCATTATCAGAATTCATTAATCAATTCACCAAGGCCTGTCCTGAGGCTCTAGCTGGTTGCTGCTAATGTGAACACCAAATAAAATATTACAATGAGTACAACTGTACCAGCAGTAAGTATGTCAGAAGACTATACCGTTAAAAAATAAACTACATCTGAAGAGGATAATAAGTATTCTGATTGTTACTTGTCTCCGTATTAATAGTTACCAGCTATTACATTTTCATATAACATGCACTTTAACGCACTATTATCCATTCTGACCTCTACGCACACAAACTGCAGTGATGGCAGACTACCAGTGGGTACCTTCTCGGTCATTTACTGTCCAGTTGCAAGAGAGATACATGATGACTATATTTGATACTTCTCGTACATTGATTCCGGGAAGAGTGACCAGATGCCTCTTGCTACAATCCCTGTAGATCATCCCACAGAGATTGTTGAATTTCCAAGGGATGCCAAAAACCACTGAGCCTCAACCCATCAGCATCCAGTTAAAAGTGATATATTCACTTTTGATGAATCTGCCCTTTAAAGGCCGCCTATTGCCTGCTGAGAGCATCAATGGAAGCCACTGAAGTCTCAACACGGCCACCGAATCTTACAGAATAGCAACTGGACTAGATAATGGAACACAAAATGGCTGCCATATTGTAACGGCAAAGGTACACTTAACTCTTTATAAGCAGTCTGCCCTCTGAATTTTAGCTTCTCACAAGAAGTCTTGATCCTCTCTCAATAGTGCAAATCAGACATGACAGACAATTCTTTTCAAGTAAATACATACAATACAATTACTCAATAAGAAATAAAAAATAGTTAAAATACACAAAGCTTTCTAGTTCTAGAAGCTGGTAAGCTGACAGCACTTGGGTCAACCAACTTATATATCGCAATGTGAATGGGTTTTTGTGGTGGGTCAGTCAGTGGGCAGCAGGCTTGCATTAGAGGTTTCTTTGGTAACAGAGGCAGGAAGTTAGGATGCTACATTAGAAAACAATAGTTCCTGCTAGAACATGATAGAGGCATCCACTTTGTGCCAAAGCAAGTATAGAAGTAAGAAAAACAAAATTAAAAAACGCTCTCCTTCCCCTGACACTAATGGTTATCATTTTGAAAGCCCAGTGAAAGTAGCTGCTCCTGATTTTGCAGACATCTTTTCTTTATGACAGTACAGATGGGGAGTGATTATGATTGACCATGTGAGAGGAAGGAGAAGACTGGCCTCTTCGAGAGGCAGATTCAGGGCTGCTGGACACTCCGTCCTTGGCGGCTTTGATCTGGAGCCAGGTGTCCCCCAGCGCCTTGGCGAAATGATCATCCACAGAGCCAGTGATGGACACGGAGTTGGCAACTGGCTCTGGTTCTTTGTAGTTCTTGCCGAGGCTCCGGCGGAAGTGTTCTTCTACCACAGGGTCACAAGCCGTTGTAGCTACAAAGATGAAAGCAAAACAGGGATTGGAGGTTTATATTGCATATCACACAGCGGGTAATGTATGTCAAGATTTAGATTAAAGACTGTTGAATATGGCCGCTTACCCTCATCCTTACTTAACCTACATGGGTGACTGGTGCTCTATATTATGGTGTACAATTTGGGGTCTCACTGCATTGCCTCAGATGGCCACATCAAACCATATTCCGTTCTAACAGATAAAGATAGAGAAGGGCTGTGCCATAGATCAGTCAATTGTGTGAGCACCTGTGCACAAATCGCCCATATAGCTTAGGCCTTGTCGCTTCTACTGAGGGCCAATGACACCACAATCACTTTAATGTTAAACCAGAAAGGGAAAAAAAGATGTTTAATTACAGCAACTTGCACAGTTGTAGTTCTGGGAAAGGTAAAATATCTTCTACACTGAAAATCTATCTCAAAATCTGAATTTGATCTGTAAAGCACATGGTGACTTCAGTTGTTTTATCATTTTCTACTTTCATGTAACGCACTCGATGGAAATATATGTTTCACTTACTGTTTGACAGTCGCCTGTAGTTTGCAGGCATGGCTGACACACAACCACTATGTGCGATGGGGCAGTGAGAAAGGTTGCAGTTTCGGTTGCTTGCTGGTGCACAGGTGATCACCGATGGCCGGTTCTAAGATAAGAAGCCAAGATTACTATATAGTAATACACCCAACAACATGTGTTACCATAGAATGAAACAAGTTACTGCATTTGTTGTGTGAAAGTAATTTAAAATATTTCAATATGAATGTAAAGATTTACTGTATGTTCTCTGCCACCACTATGCTCCAACAACATATGAATAATATAAGCATGACAGGATAGTGAGATGGTGCACGGATTTTATTTTAATGGATTTCCTTGCACATCTGCTTCATGCTAAATGGTCTCCTGATGGCAGATTTCATGGTGCAATGGGCAGACCTTTTACACACTGTTGGGACATGTTTCAGTTGAGTCAGGCAATCATAGAATAACAATTATTTTCTAGGCCTGACCGGCACTTTTTTAAGAGAAAACATAGCTGGAAAGCAGATTACCTAAACTTGCTACTACAGGCCCAAGAAATAACTAGCATCCCCAGGTAAGGGGGAACTTGATACACTCCTCCTTGCATCCTACAATACACACTTGGCACCTAAGTGGCCAATAGATAAGACGGGGCCAAATGCCGTCAAAGCGTCCAGGCTTGCTAGGAGCTCTTAGCAACATGGGATGCTCTGTATGTCTGTCGTTCTGCCCAGCTCACTGAAAAACGGTTGCATAAAGTGGAGTGGGACGCTCTGGCTGGGTCCTGCTGAGCTCCTGCCAACCGCTATTGTCAATGAGCTGGGCAAATTGAGAGACAGAGCCGCATCTGCTACCACTCTACAACCCCACCTTCCTTGACGACAAGTGTGAGAGAGTGAACAATACCCCCCTTCCTGGGAACAAAATCACCTCAGGCAGCGATTACCATCAGGGCAGCCCTGTATCTGCTAACCAAATATGGCTGAGTACACGAAACCCTGTTCAATAACTTGTTTTGGATACCTATGGTGATTGTTATCTGGATTAGGAAATGATTCATCATGTCTACAGGAATTATATAACTTAAAGCAAACCAATCACTTTAATGACTATACTATACTATACTTATAACTTTTCCTCACTCCCCTACTACACTGTTCAGATGCTGGGAACAAAGAAATGCCTGGGGAGAAAAAACTAATAAGATTTTTTTTTTTTTTTTGATTTATGTGCACTGCAAGATTCACTTGAAGTAGATACCTAGGTTGACCAATCCCAGGAAGGGGAGCAAGCTGGCACATCATTGTAGTGGCAGAGGCCGGCTGAACCAACTGGTCATGTTGCATCTAACAGATGGATATCTACTTTTCCCCCAGGGCGTCAGCCTGCACACTACATAACCACGTAGGCTTGGTGGAAACACCACATTTTAGGCATATTTCTTCTTCACAAATGGCCATTTACAAGTTCAGACTGTGAACTCAATGACTGATGGCCATCATATGCTTACAGTCAGGCTAGACATGCTATGATCAGAGAGCTGCACTGCCTGATAAAGCATTAGTGCTTAGGATAATCTCAATGTTCTTTTGACTGAAAAGTTATTAATTCCGAAAAAACAACAGGGTTGTTTGCTTTGCTAAACAGTAGAAGCTAAATATAGAACCTTAAATCCCTAAAACAGCAAGTTCACTTCACTGAACTCCTGCCTTATAAGAGAAGGAAAAAAACTATTTCTTTCAACATGTCAGGCACATACACAAGACACAAAGCAAACGATGGAGAAAACACCTCTTAAGGTCATGATGGTGTCTTCTCCATCATGAGTCATATCTTTTCAAGGTCCTTAATGAAATGTAAGGTAAATGAAGGGTGGATTAAGGGGCAAGCTACCAGGGAGACTTTAAATTTGTTCAGTAGCTTAAAGGAAACTTGTTCCAACAAAATACACCGGTTGGCATCAATTAATTTCCTCTTGATAATACTGAACGCCTGGCTGTTATCTTGATCTAAAGCAGGGATGTCCAAACTGTGGCCCTCCAGCTGTGGTGAAACTACAAATCCCATGAGGCTTTGCAAGATTCTCACAGCCACGACTCCCGGAGAGAGATGCTTCATGGGATTTGTAGTTTCACCACAGCTGGAGGGCCGGAGTTTGGACATCCCTGATCTAAAGGCTTCAATGTTTTTTGATTCACTGACAAAAGAACAAGTGCAAAGATTAGGGGTCCCGACTTTCCCAGACTTCAGTAGCTGAATGTTAATACTTGGCCAATGACTTAGTATTTTTAGAAGGAGGTAAGCCACTGAAGTTCTTTTAGTACAGGTGCCCACTCAGATTGACAAATATCTTCTGAGCAGGACACTGAAAGCCATGCTACAGAGGACTAAAAACCGATGTAATCTCAAACCACCAAGACATTAAAACTCATGTAGTTGAGGACTCCACCTGGCCTTGTGATCAGCTACATTTGAGATTTTTTAAATCAGACGTTAGCATGAGCTTAACCCTGTTGTTGTTGGTTGCCTCATTTACAATACAACAATTTCAATGCTGACCATACACACTGATTAGCCTAATTTTGGGCCTTACTATTCAGAAAAAAGTAGAATCTATCTGCAGGATAACTGCATCGGCCTTTGGTCACATGTGTATGGCCAAATAAGTCTAGCCATTTAAGAAAGATTGGACGACCTGTTCATCACACACATTGTTTATCTGCATCTTCCTTCTATTCTTTTCAAGCATTGTACACAGTCATGGAAATGTAGTGCACTGTATTTCTGCTGGTCACCATATTGGCTACAATTATTATCCAAGGTCAACTGTCTTATTTTTGCGCCTGCCATAAAAATTAATAAATCTTTTGTCAGCCCAAAGTGGAAAAAAATGAACAGGGCCATGGGAATACTGGCTTTCTAACATTGGCATTATATGGTATTATATGACATAACCTCTTACCTGCTGTCGTTCCACAGGGCTCATAGTGGGTGTCATCCCCATGTTTCGGGACAGGTCACTGTTTTTGGTGAGGGCGAGAGGTTGATCCATACTGATGCTTGGAATCGAGCTGTACAGGTGATTTGCATGTAAACCCATTGTCGGTGCAGCTGCTCGCTCTATCGGGCTGCGACTTCGGTCTCGCAGATCTTTTCTGTAATCCCCATTAAGACTCTTCGTTCTAAACAGATAAAAAAAAAAAAAAAGCTTGAAGTTAAACACAAAGACAAAAAACTTGTCTGTGCAATGATCTCAAATCGGTCCAAACACTTCTGAAAACAAAATGATCAGCCTTACTAAAAAGGCAGTTTTTGTTTATCGCGTGGTATAACCTGTGGTCATCCACATTATGACCAGCTCAACATGGACAGGTCTTGAAGATATTTAAATACATGCAAACATTCAGGAAAGTTCACAAACTATTCTAAACATGAGAAGTGAAAGCAAATTCATTTGATAAAAGCCTCATGCATTTCCAAGATCGCCAACTGTGTGTAGCTGCGGCTATGCCCATGCCTGGTGAAAGACCCAGCAAGGGGTCATTGTGTATAATAATAAATTAAGAGTGTAACGATAATTGCTTCCCATCTGAGAAGTGCACACACAATTTTTGTTTCAATGGATGAGTGAAGTGGGCATAATAAACCATAAATCCAGAACGCTGTCACCACATGCTAACTGCTCTCCTCACACAGCAATGAGGAAAATATTTGATCGAAACCAGGAGGGGAAGAAAGTATCTGTGTCACCATAGCAACCCAGTTTACTTTCTCACCTTCTCTATAAAAAAAAAAAAAAAAAAAAAAAAAAAAAAAAAAAAAAAAAAAAGAAGAAGAAGAAAATGAAAAAACAAAAAACACTAAACAAAGTGACTACAAGTCTCCTCCATCTGTCTTCTTTAAAAGAATGTTCATCTCTTCTGTACAAACATCAGTTGGTCTAATACTGTCTAAAAGCTGCCAGCTTCTCCTTGAAGGTGGCTGGTGCAGGCGAGAAGATATTCCAGGAACACTTAAATAAGTTTTTCTTAAAAGTCCACATATTCTACAGAAATTATGAAGTCCAGAGCACTAAAATCACTTTATATGCACTGGCTTCTCATCTGACTTTAGGCGTTTCCTCCGAGGCTGTACAAAATCATCATCTGAATCCTCAGTTATTTCCCCATCATCGTCCTCTGGTTCAAAGTCTGGCAATGGTGGGAAGGTCCTGTCAGGGTAGATTCCTGGAAGTTTGTCCTCAAAGTATAATGCAACAGCCTTTCCTGCTTGTGCCACTTCAGAGTCATTCTGTTATGGGGGGGAAAAAAACAAAAAAACAGAATTCACCTGGGGTTATGCAAAGACACCTCATGAGTTAGCACAGCTTGGAAAGCTTACCTGCAGATTAATTTCTTGTGATTCTGCATAAACTTGAACAACTTTCATCATCTAAAAAGGACACCAGAGTCAAAAAAGTGAAAATCATTTCTTCTAAGTTTTATAAGTAGGGTGTTACTTCAAAATAAGGTCATAACTACAAAAAAATTTTATGACCTGCCTGCTATTTAAAAATGCATGCTCAATTATTATATGCAATGAATATAAAGTATGACAGACTGGATACACAGTCCATCACAAAAATACTAGCATGCTATGCTATTTTGTCACGCAAGTCCAAGCCAGACCAGATAAGACTGAGCTATTGCAAAAATGATATATAAATATGTTTTTTTTCTGGTCTATGGCCATAGCAGACTTGTTTCCCCCAGACAATTATCACAATTATGACCAGTTTACAAACATTAGATTATAGTATAAAATCTGACCATTCTATAGAATACAAATTTAGACCAAGCTGCAAGTAATTTAAATGAACAAGCAACAAAAGGTCTCTAGAATAGATTTATATGAAATCAGCACCCCAGGTTTCTTTTCCCCCTTCTCCTTAAAAAAAAAAAAAAAAAAAAAAAAAAAAAGCTCAACTGGCAGCTTACTGGTTGCTGGAGACAATTTCCTTTCCCAAATGTATAATACATAAGCCCAATTTGAAGTGCCGTCTGATATCACAATATTTTTTGGAGGGATTTTTAGAGATCCTTTCATGTTTCTCTATAAATGAATATAATTAAATGACCAGTAATACTTGCCTGACTTGACCGTAGAATATTATGTCTCTCTCAAATGCAAGTCTATGTTTAAAATTAGATTAATGTGCACACATTCATAAAAGAAAATGTGAATTATTTTTTGCACTGGAGCCCGCAAAGCATTGCAACTGTGATCAGTAGATCCTGGCTTCAATGTTCCGGCTCCTGTAGACTCCTCCTCCCAGCTCTTGTCCGTACCAAGGTACTGGACTTTCAGATAAGGGACGGGAGGAAGTATGAATGGACTAGAAGTAACTTTACAGCACTTGACTTCAACTGAGAACTACAAGTATCTCCATTCACAGATCCTGTCAAAGGATTCGTGAATGGCTGACGTGGCTGTGTGGGAGCCGCCATGTAAAATTACAAATTTTACAGCAGCCTGCACATAGAATAACCCCATAGACGAATTCAGGAAAGTGGGGGAGGGGGTTGCAATGTAAACATGTTTCATGTTACACCCCCAATAAACCCCATAAACTTTGCATTTAATGTGCAGATTTAATTTGTAACAAGGTAACAATGCTGCCACTACCAACTGCACTACTGAAATGAGAACACAAGGCTGGCCCTTTCTCCGTGTCTCTCTCCTCTGCAGCACTGTTCCTTCCCTGCTGTCTCATGCTGTAAATGAACTGCAGATGAGAATAGATGACCATCTGGGATAAAAAAAAAAAATATAGGATAAGGGGATGAAATGAACATTTCTTTTAATACTAACCTCCTTTAATCATTGCCAAAGAGCACGAAGACAACCTCGTATCCTCCCGCCAGAGAGCCGTGGGCCTCACAAACTTGGCAGGCGCACTCCTCTGCACAAAACGGGCTGGCAGGCCCCATGTCAAATTAAAAGTCCTCTCCGATGCTGCATTATATGACAAGATCATCAAACACGAAAAAGGGTGATGAGCCCAATAAAATAAAGAGAATACAATGCGGCGATCCGGCAAATAGGAAGGTTTTCCAATACAAACCTTACAGCAATATCTGTATGTTTTGTTTTAGGAACAAAAGGAAAACCTTCAAATTTATCTTACGGTCGATCAGAGGCCAAGAAGCTGCCACTGATTATAATCGACAGGAGATTTTATACACATGTTGCAGCCAACTGTGCAAATCTCGATGGTCATGAACAAATTGTGAATCTCATGTGCCAATCCAAATCTAGATCCAAGCAACTCATTTCTACAATTTGTGATTTGTTTATGAAAATAATAATCCATGCGATTCTGATCAAGTTATAGTGATGCACTGAGTATGTCCTATAAATTAGGTCTTAAGTTTTTGGATGCTGAAGTGTTACGCAATTTGGACTATATCTTTTCTTGCAACAAGGGGTGCTGGAACACCCAAAACTACCAAGTGGATAGGAGCAGAGTTGGAAATTTCGGTTGGGAACTACTTCATTGTAGCATCTGATACATATAAGAAGTCAGAGGCACTTCCCCCCTCCCCCCCCCTGATGACAGGAGTTATGTGTTTCCCCCATGTCTATCGGGACTCGAGCAGAACGTAAATTCGGAGGCATGTGAATGTATAATCATCATCCACGTGTAGTAAAGTACAGAGAAATGGTTTTGGGCTTGTTTCCCCTGACTCTGCCACCTTCCCCTCCCCCCCCGCATACTCTATATGCGTGATGCAAGTCGGACCAAATGGCTGTGTTAGTTGTCTCATGTTTTACTGTTATGACTGTGTATTGCAGAAATCTGTATGCAATGTCAAAATGTGTTGTACAAAAATTTTAAAAAGTGCAAAATTCAAATAAAAAATATCTGATTTAAAAAAAAAAAAAAGAAGTCAGAGGCTGACTCAGAACCCCAGCTCTTTCTATACTAAATAATCACTTTAGTGGAATAACCCTTTAAAATCTTACGCCTGACATCCTATAAAACAAAAATACACTGCCTGGCCAAAATAAGTCACTAATATTTAGTTGGACCGCATTTAGCTTTGATTACGGCACACGTTTATTGTGGTATTGTTTCAATTATACAGGATTTGTATAGCACAACAGTTTGTGCAGCGCTTTACAATATAAAGGAAGACATTACAATCACAATACAATTCAAGACAAGATGGCATGGAGGGCCCTGCCCGTGAGGGCTTACAATCTAAAAATAACCTTATGCAATGTCACAACAACATTTATTTCCATCCAGAGTTGCAGTAATTTTTCACCAAGATCTTGTAGATCCAGCACATCCCAAAGATTATCAATGGGGTTAAGGTCTGGACCCTGTGGTGGCCAATCCATGTGTGAAAATTATGTCTCATGCTCCCTGAACCACTCTCACAATTTGAGACCAATGAAACCTGGCATTGTCATTTTGGAATATTCCTGTGCCATCAGGGTCATTCAGTATATTCCGATAGGCAACTGACCTCGCTTTGTTGGACATAACGTTGCTGAACCTAGGACCTGACCAACTGAAGCTACCCCAAATCATAACACTTATCCAATGGAAGGAACATACCCATCTGCTTAGCTAAATCCAGGTGGGGACTTTTTTGGCCAGGCAGTGTATGGAAGCTGCATTCATTCACCTAAAATTGAAAAAGTTCTTCTTTGTCTTTACCCGAAGTCCAGAGATGCTTTGATTGTACCCAACTGTGGAATGCCGGCACAGCAAAAGCATAGCTGATATCCAAGCTGGTACATTTTACAAACAAAAGTATTCTTGTAGGCATGGTCTCACAGCACAGGTGTGGGGTCGAGAGGCGGAACCTAAATGGTTCTTTAAAAAAGGTATATGGAGGACAGCAAAGTAAAGAGGAGGCAACCCTCAGAACCAAAAACGCTGTACTCATAAAATGCATAGGACTTACTCCGGTATAAGTAGAGTCATATGTTTTCTTACTTGAATCTATGTGCATAATTTATAAAAGTTCTGCCTGGCATCGATCTAGCCTAGATCTAAGGTGCTAGTGCCGTGTGAATGGCATCATCCTGACTATACTCTGGGCAAAACCTTTATAAATGAAGCCCACGGATTAAATTAAGAATACACATGCCACTTCAATATTTGCTAATGCTGGAATATGGCCTAGCCCATGCCGTTCACATGGCACCCCTAGATCTAGGCTATATGCAGGGCAGAACTTTAAGCAAAGCTCCAAGTGTGCTTTGTGCACCGGTTTCAGATCTGTGCAGTAATCGAGTGTGAAACTTATACAGGTATTTCCTGTAATAAAGACCAATGTTGCCCCTCATACGGGCCCGGGACTGGCGTCCTTGGTGTCCGCGGGGAGCTGGGGAGGAGGTCGAAGAACTTCCGTTCATCAATCCACCCCCCGTTCTATGGGACCGGGAACGATGCAGATTGCATCACTTCCGGTCCCTGGGCTGTCAGTTCTGGGCTCCTGCAGCCCAGCTCTAAGCTATTGAAGTGCGATCTGCACTTCAATAGCTTATTTCCAGTGTAAAGGTGACACTGGGGGTCTTTTGGACCCCCAGCATCACCTTAAATAGTACCTGTCACGACCTTCTGCTATCACATGGGGAGGGCTTGTAAGCCCCTCTATGTGATAGCAGTCAAGTAAAGTAAAAAAAAAAAAAAGCTTTAAAAAGCTTTTTCAATTAAAATTAAATAAAATCAATCTAATAATAATAATAAAAAATTTTAAAAGTCCCCCGCGTTAAATGTTGGGGTTTAATAAGGAGTTGCGCTAATATTGAGCAACATAAAAATTTGCAACTACCACCATTTTATTCTATAGGGTCTTGGCATTCAGAAAATATATAATGTTGGGGGGTTTTAAGTCATTTTCAGGCCTAAAATTTGGAATATAACATGGGTGCAAAAAATGAAAGGGCCTCAGTCATGAAGGGGTTAAAGAAAGGTTTTGGTGTCCGGAGCTCAGCCTTAACACTTTACACACAGGATGGAATTCGGTGAAGAACATTTGTGAAATTACAGTGACAATCAATACTGTACTGCAGAGGCCAATGTGTTACATCCTATTTCATTTTGCAAAGGTCGCAATTATTTTCCTTTATTGGTTTAATAACACATCAGCGTACGTGGTTCTTAAGCACGACCACGACAAGCAGCAGGATTTTACAGGGGAGAGTGCTGAGCTGTGATGGGCTGTGCCCATTTTCCTTGGCACACCAATAATGGGCCACGGTCAGCTTTCCCTTTTCTGCAGCCTCACTCCTTTTCAGAGCTGTTAGTGCGTGCAAGGCCAATTTATTGAAGGCTCGAAGCAAAAGCAGAATTTGTTCCAAAACCTTCCCCGGAAAGAATGTCTGTAGCAACAATCTCCACAACAACCGTCTTCCCAGGAGTTAAACTTTCTAGTAAATGTAACATCTGACAAAGTTCAGGA